TGATACTGATACCAGTTCAATCATTTCATCACCAGAAATGAAGGCTTCAACTTCAGGGATAGAAAAGAGAGGTACTGGAATCTGGCCAAAGACTTTCAAGCTTGACAGTTCTAAATACTCCTAGATATTGTTGACCCATCTTCAGGTAGAAAAATCTCTTTCTTGGGCAAACAAGAGTATACCTTTTATCCAAATGGTGGACAAATAAGTGAGGTGGCTAGGCTTCTCACTTACATACCCATACCTGACAGAAAAAAATGGAAATGGATATGATGGATGGACACAGTGCATTCGTGACAAACTTAAAACCATGCGCAGAAATATGAGTGAACCAGCAGTGAAATGGAGAAAAAAAAGAACAAAATTGGAAATGGACAGTGGTAGCTCTGCCTCAAGCAGTGCCAGTAGTACACATAGCATGCAAAAGAAAAGAAGTGTACCTAAGGGTTCCAACTGGGCATCATTGGTAACAGGCAACCATGAAGACTTTTCCCCTTCGTCAGAGTCTTGTAAATACTGGTCCACCGGTACAAACAATCTTAGAGGAGTACTCAGCATTCAAAATAGTTGAGGTATGTCAGAATGAAATGACCCGTTTGACATGTGTAGACGCTATGAAAATTCTCAAGACAAACCTCACAAAGATTCCAGAAAATGTTATGAACATTATTAAGAACAAAAAAAAAAGAAGACTGAAAGATCTGATGCAATAATTAATAGATTGGACTGTGTGATTGCTGATCTGGATGAAATAACTCCCAAATCTGTATTTGTTCACAAACACATTGCTTCATGTTTGACGAAGATGATGGTTCCTTCATCAAAGAAATCGTGTTTTAATTTATGGTGTACATCAGAGTAAAATATTTTACCTAATATCAATGCAGGTTGATGAATCAAAAGTTTCCTCTTCTTTAGCAGTGCTTTCAGTGTGTTTTGGGTTTGTATACAGAACCCATGTCCCTTGAGATTTTAGCTGAAAATTTCCATTTTACATTTATATGGAAAAGGTTCCAATATACACTGATGGACTTTTATTAATTTATGTTTAAAACAATCCACAATTTCACATTCCAATTCAATGGGTATCAGGATGCTATGAAATAAAAGGTAAAAAAAATATAATTATTCAGTATGAAGCTTCATCATACATTACACATACAGGTGCCTGAGCGTGATTTCTCAAAACTGGGAAATAGGCACATTTAGCAAAGTTACCTCCCTTATCATAAATCTTGCCACTAATTATTGTACATTGTATGATCCTTAAACAGGAAGTAGTGTGTCACTGGGAAATATTCTCAAGTCAGGTGGAGAAACAGTGTTTAAATACAGTTTTGTCTATTATACACCTTTATTATCTGAAACTGAGGTGATGATTTTCAGTTAGTTATACCAAGATGCAAAATTGCAGTGTAAATGGCTTCTGTTAATTCCAAAAACTGCTTATATATGCAATCTGAAGTACCCTTAACGTTTTTCAAGCAAAAGGTATTCTCTAAGTTAATGATAGCTACATCCATCATTTTAGGACAGTATAGTAGCCTGTTATGAGGGCTTTTTTTAGGTCATCTGATCCGAAGGGTCATGGTTACTTATAGTCATTGTGCTTTATCCGTCGTCGTCCATCATCCATTGTATGCCTTCTGTATAAACTTTTCGTTCAAACAACATCTCCTCAATAACCATAACCCCGGGTACAGATATTAGGCATGTAGCATACTGGGGTGAAGCCCTTCCAAGTTTGTTCAAATGAATGACCTTGACTCACTTTCAAGGTCACAAGGGTCAAATGTTATAAAATCTTTAACAAACTTTCTGAGGAGACTAATGAATAGACCCAGCATACTGGGATATGGCCAGTAGCATGCTAGAATATTGGTCCACCAAGTTTGTTCAAATGAATGACTTGACCTACTTTCATGGTCAATGGTTTATTAGAGAAAAGCTTATCTGCATCATAATAAAATTATAGAACTAATTTTACTTTCAAGAATATTAATCAATCATAATGACAAGGTATGTGAGTGCTGTGAGGTGGAATTTCAATTAACTTTACCTGTTTTGGCACATTTAAAAATATAAATTGTTTGAATGACAGTTAAATATTTATTTCATGCATCCATGTACGGTAGTATTTCTTGATGGACAAAAACATTATTCTCTTAAAAGTGTAGATCAAATTTGGTTGCATTTTTTTGCCTCACATGGTATTTAATGTATGTGATGTGTTATGTTTTTTAGACTGATGAAAACTTGATGGAATTTGTGAAGTGCGGACCAAGGACACCTTTTATAATTGCCATCAAACCATTTGACAGTAAAAACAGGATATTTTACATCGCTGTAGAGGGCAACATTATTTTGAATAACAAAGACATTCTGGAGGCAGTTTTTCTGCTTATGTCCACCTACTGGATATTCAATATTGAATATCCAATAAAAGCAAGACATACATACCAGTTTTTGCAGCATTATGCTTTACAATTGTCATTTGGAGAGACTCCAGCAAAGAAAGTGATTACAATTGCTCAAAAGGTAAGATTGGAATTAAACTGCTTGTATTTTGATGGTCTTTGGTAATGATATTGTGATTATAGCCTTCCATGGATGCTGACATTTTGATAAATTGAAATTTATTGGAAATTCTTTCAATAGGAGAAATTTGATAATATTTGGTCAAATTATGTCAAGGTTTTGGTCATTTTATGCTTTCAGGACTGGGGAGCATATTGTTTCATGTCTTGACAGTCTAGTCTGTGTCTGTTTCTCTGTTGAATAAATCAAATTTGGTATGTTGCTTACCTATAAAAAAAATAAATGGTATTTGAAATCTAAATTAAGGGTTCAATTTTCATGTGTATTTCCAATACATGTATACATATATTTGTTTCAGGTATCAATATGAGTGATTTTGTGGATCTGACAGACCTGCCGGACTTGACATTGGAGAAGATCTTGGGATATGTTGGAATATTTGACCTGTTGAAGAATCTAAGCAGGACCTGTAAATTTATGAACACTTTTGTACACACTAGGTCAGTGCTGTGGAAGCACATGGATTTAGAGTGGTTAGAAGATGCAGCAATTTTTTCCAACAAAGACCAAGTGTACAGTGTGTTCAGGCATGCACACCAGTTTCGCTGCCTAGATATTCGAATGATGACCTGTAACTTCAATGACAGTGTAGCTATTTTGGATGAGTGTTTAAACACATATTTACCGCTGTCAACACATCTTTTTTGGCTGGACTTGTCCTATGCAGAATTTTCTACACTGTACCATGTCTCGAAAATCTGTCAACATTGCTGATTACAGGATGTGAAAATTTCCCGGACACAGAGTTTTTACATATAAAGCATTGCCCCAAACTTACATACTTATGTGTTGGCTACACAAATATCAGTAGGTTAACTGTGGCTGCTGTGCTAAGTCCTCCCATTGTTGATGTAGATGCACCAAATGTGAGGTGGCATATAGCATTTTGCAGAATTGTGAATCAACTCTACATAATATTATGTTTGGTTTGGAAGAAAGCGTCACAAAACAACAGTTTAAACACTTGACCCCTGAATTGATTTATGTTTTTATTACACTTTCTCTAACCAGAAATCATTTTCTCATATTGAATGCTGATAAAAAAAGATTTGATTGATTATAACTTGTATACATATTGTTATTTCCACATTGCATTGTAATTACAATAATGTATGTATGGTATTTTAAGGATATTGTTGGTTATTACTCTTATAGGCATGCAAGATAAAGAGTGCTTTATTGATCATGAAGAAAGTAGCATCACTGCATGGCTATTTTGAAAGTTTATTAAAAAAAATATTGGGATATTTAATTTCTTTTGTTGTCAGTAATGATATCTCAACAAAATATTATGGTATTAAATAAACTGATTGTTTTGTCTATCCATTTCAAATACATTTATATCTTATGAGCCCAAACAAAAAGATTTAAGTTCATATTTACACGATGGCATTGTATAGTAAAATTTATACATGTGGTTAGGTTATTCATGGTGGTAATCGGTGAAAGTTAGGGGGTCAAATGTCACACTTGACCACATTGTTGGAATGGGGGTAATTCAACAGTAGTGTGGTGTATCAACCTTGGAAATAACAAATTTTCTGTTTGATTTTTTCTCACACGATGATGTATACCATCTACATTACTGTAGTGATATTAAATCATTACTGTTTTTGCTGGTGGCAGTTGAGTTTACACTCATTATTGGCATAAACTTTCCTTAAATGCATTGGTGTAACACTAAAGCACCATCGCAACTGTGGTGTTTTGTTAAATCATAGGCATCCATGTAAGTTTACATTCAAACTACACTCATGCAGTTGTGCTGCTACACCACAGGTACTGGTGTAAGTTTACACCTAATTGGTATTGTGTAATGTTACAACTGATTGGTATGGTGTAATGTTACACCACAGGTACTGGTGTAATGTTACACCTAATTGGTATGGTGTAATGTTACACCACAGGTACTGGTGTAATGTTACACCTAATTGGTATGGTGTAATGTTACACTTAATTGGTATGGTGTAATGTTACACCACAGGTACTGGTGTAAGTTTACATCTAATTGGTATTGTGTAATGTTACACCTGATTGGTATGGTGTAATGTTACACCTAATTGATATGGTGTAATGTAACACCACAGGTACTGGTGTAATGTTACACCTGATTAATATGGTGTAATGTTACACTTTCCTTGCAGGTGTAACTTTACACTATTTATTTCCTGGAACGTTTACACCAAAATAACTGCCACCATTTTTGGTGTAAATTTACACCTTATTTTTTATAGTGTATAGACAGTATATGAGATGAAAGTAAATTCACAAGACTTTTCGTTGCAGTATAATAATATATGCACGAAAGTAAAATACTCTTTCTTTACAATGGCCTTTTTCCATAACAGTCAGAGAAAGGCTAGTAATTGATGAAGTAGGAAATATAAAACTGGAAACATATATACAAATAGCATTTTATTATTTCATTTAAACGTGAAAACTTAACATATATGTTTTCCGCGACAACCGAATCATAAAAAGAACATCTCAAATGTTTTCCGTGGGCTTAACCCTGTATTTATTGCAAATGTAGCAAAATGAAAATGTAATTGTTGACTTTTTATGTACCAATATGTGAACTGTAGCCAATTCCTTGTAAGCGATATTTGCAAAGTCTCTGGAATTTTGTAGTATACGGTAAATTAAGAAGCGAGGAGGCGATGAGTTAAACACGAATCAGGGTTTATTGTTTATAGAAGAACAGCGCATACTTAAAGCTAAGAATTGTGTCCAGTTCTTTAGTTGTTTCTCAAGCTCAGTATCTGTCAGGAAGGTCCCTAGGGCGATACCTGTTTGGGTCCCCTCCGTTACGTCCCCATCTGTTAGCTTCTTGGTCTGCTCGTGTGTCCTCGTAACCACGCCCACTAACACTACCCTGCCAGTTCTCACGTGCGTTACTTGCAATACAAAACAAAAAAGGAATAAATATATCAAATGTAATAAATTATCACAAGTTAGGACGTCATTGAATCAACGCAATTATCAAAATAAAAAAACATCTTGCAGATTTCCATATGAATTTATACCAAAAAAGGAAATACTTTTCAAAATATCAATGATTGAAGGAACACATTCAAAGTTTCGGGAAAAAAAATGTGCTGGACGCCTGCCATCTGGGTTGTAAGATGGTCCATACCTAATAACTCGTGCGGCCCAGCGACCACCTGGTCCGTGTCGGGCGACGTCGTAATTAGCCCGGGCGTGAAAATACTTGTCGGAGTTCCTCCAGTTGGCCCGTCTCATATCCCTGGGAAGAACGAGGTTGCCTATAGTTTCGATTATTGCAATCTCAATGACACGAGAATATGTAGAGATGTCGGGTAAAACTACTTACAAATGACATCGTGAAAATGGCATCCCAAATTAACATTACAAATATTTACAAATGACATCGTGAAAATGGCATCCCAAATTAACAAGACATCGTGAAAATGACAGCACAATTTACCAGTACCAATGTTTACAAATGACATCGTAAAAATGGCAGCACAATTTACCAGTAAAAATACAATGGAACCACTATCGTCATTTTCTTAATGTGCTTCAAACTTCATTGTTATTGGCAGAACAAAAAGAATATTATCTTCAAAATTTTAAGCTAGATAATAAATATCCATCTTGCATTAATATGCGACTATCATATGAAAGTAGACGTGGATTTTCTGTGTGATTTATCCTACAGTCTCAACGCCACACCTTCACATCAGATGCAAATGGTCTTTTTTGTTTTTACCGTTTAATGAAAACGCTGAATTCACACCGAGAAATCTTGAATAGTGGGAAGTATTGAGGATTTAAGAAGAGAAAACTAACCAACGATCATTTTTTGTCACCATTTAACTAACCAACGAGTAAAAATGGTCTTTTCTTTTTTTGTAATACATAATTCTATTTCCTTTTGGTCCACATATTGACATGATATCATGTCATGCAAACATACAGTGGTGCTTGTTGTTTTACTGAGTAGTATAGAGAAGACATGTAGTTAACCAATGTGCAATACACAATTTGATAAGTCCTACTGCGCTCTTACACGCACGGGCGCACACAGACTTGTATCCGCCTTCACATGTCACCTGTGGAGATGTAGACAGGTAAATAACATTCCTACCGATCACTCTATGGCAGCGTATTTGTGTTAATTTATACATGTACAATGTACCAATGTTAACCAGCAGCATACAATTTATATAGAGACATTGATCGAATGATTAACCTTACTAATCAAAATGCTTCAATAGAAAAGAACAGAAGGTAAACATAAAAATATGATATTGGCCAAAAGATATAACACAATGCGACAGACTTTAAATTACGGAAATACTTATGAATATATCTTCAATTTAACTTTTAGAAGAATTGCAATTGCAAATTCTTCATGATAGATTATACCGAATATATAGAATGTTCACCATGCCACATGTTTACTTTGTGTTAGTCCCAATGATTATCTCACTAACTTGAGGAAGGGCGACTCTTTCAGATAGATTAACTTGTATTTGGAGCGTTCCGCTGGTGCAAAGAGTTTAGAGACTAGAATTACGCTAGACAATAGCCAGAGTTTCCTGCCGGAAAACATTGTAGAGACATTTGTCTTCACAGTGACAATTCGGTTATATATCGATGTGAATACTTACATGGGTTTGAGAACAGATATTGAGCAGTATAGATTTCAATATAGAGACAAAATTAATAAAGCTTTTGATAAAGAATATATACTGACATGGAGAAATAAATATCGAGTTAAGTTATATTGATTAATGAATATCAAGTTCATATATGCAATTGGATATTTAGAAAGAAAATATCGCGTTCGTATGATGGATTCCGAGTATGCTTATAGAGATTGCAATTGAAACACACACACACAACACCACATTACACAAACACACACCAACACACTCACACACCCATCACCACCACCACCACCATCACCACCACAACACACACACACACACACACCACCACCACCACACTACGCACTCAAAACACTAACAAACCAACACATACACACACCAACACACACACCACAACCACCACCACCACATCACCACACACACCACCACCACCACACTACACACTCAAAACACTAACAAACCAACACATACACACACCAACACACACACACACACCCATCACCACCACCACCACCATCACCACCACAACACACACACACCACCACCACCACACTACACACTCACAACACTAACAAACCAACACATACACACACCAACGCACATAATCACACATCACCACCACCACCACCACAACACGCATACACACCACCACACTACACACTCACCACACTAACAAACCAACACATACACACAACAACACACACTATCACACACACACACACACACACACACACACACACACAACATCACATTACACATACACACACCAATATACACACACCCACACACACACACGACTACTCACCCACACACACACAAACACACACACACACACACACCACCACCACCACCACTACACCACACTAACAAACCAACACACACAAACCACCACCACCACCACACTACACACTCACCACACTAACAAACCAACACATACACACACACACACCACCACCACCACCACCACCACACCACCACCACACACACACCACCACCACCACATTACATACTCACCACACTAACAAACCAACACATACATACACCAACACACACACACACACACACACACACATCACCACACACACGCGCGCGCATATATATATATATATCCCAAGTACATATAAATTGAAGTTTATATATATAAGATGTTGGTATACTACCATTACTTATCTTCGATTGGCTATTTTATTAGACATATACATCTGCTTTTACGACATGCATGCGACCCTGAACATACAAGACAAAAGGTATGAACTAAAAACAGACAATAAGAACATACCTATATCCTCTGTACATATCACGCGCCCCGAGGACAGCGCCTTTAGCGAAACTGGCTCCCCTTCTGACAGACGAGAACCAGCATTGTCCTTCGCTGACCAGACATGCCAGGATGACTACAGTGAAGAGTAGTGACAGCGTGGGGACCTTCATGCTGGAGGGTTAGGTATTGCAGGGATCTCGCTCTCACGCTATTTATAAAGGGGTGCACATTTATGTTCCTGGTGTGTCTGGTTTCGCTGGTTACAGAGACGAGACGTCTGACCAATGGCTGTGGTTTTGGATAAGAGACAAGTAAGTTAATATTATGCGAATTAAGTGTTTACCTAGAAATACATGCTATTTGTAAGATCTATCGGAAATAACTGCACCTAGCGGTCACTGATACTTGACTAGGGTTACTAGTGATGACTAGTGTCCACCGACGTTTATAATAACAGACCAGGAAGTACAATGTTCACACGCTCCAGTAACAGAAACATCCGGGTATTTATTTTGTAGTGTATTTAAACATCTTGTGATTTTTAAAGGTTGTGTCTAGTTAATATTATTTGACATATTCTAAATTTGAAATAAAATGCTGCTGCCGGAAAATCACTGTTTATTTATATTCTAAGTAAGTTTGTTATTTGTCCTATTAATCCTATGAGTTTGATTTTAATCGATCATGTGAAGTCAATTATAAAATCAAAGCACTGTTTATCTATTATTGTTATTATGCTTATTAGGATGTCCCCATCGTTTGAGTGTTTGCAATATACGGTACATTACAACTTAAAATACCCAGAAACCCAGACACTTTTTTTTCATTTTTGTCCATTACCATGCTGAATAGCAGTGCGTGTATATCTGCCTGTCCCTTCAATGTCTATCTTACACGCTGTATGTATATATGTGTGTCTAACTATTGCCTTGTTTGTGAATAGAATGTATTTTCTCGTATTTTTATTCATCTATGCTTGCCCAGACACTAAATTAATCTGCTTTCTAGATGCTCGCTATATCATGTATCCTAATCGCGTCACAGCAGAATGTTTTGGAATTATAGCTCTGTATGATTATGGCTAAAACAACAATAGTTATATTACGTGACGGGACATGTATTGTTGCTCGGGGGTATACTGATAAATTATTGGCATACTTTTGTGTGATATCAATTTGTAATTTCCATTATATTCTATATGTCAAAAATTTACTCTTCTCTCTTTATGGTGCTAGCACCTTGTTAGTAAGGTGTAATGATATTGGATTAAACCCAGGTTCTCTATGTAACCTACAAATTTCTCATCTTAATATTAGATCCTTACGAAATAAGATTGACATTGTTGATGCGGAGGTAAATGGTAATGATATCGTTTGCTTAACTGAAAACCATCTCACACCTGATACTGAGCTTATAATACCTAAGTACTTTGAAAATCTTCATAGGTTAGATAGCAAAACAGGTCCTGGTGGTGGGGTACTTATATATTACAAAAACAATATATTCGTTAGAAGACGATGTGATCTCGAACGGGATGAGGTTGAAATAATATGGGTGGAAATCCATGTTGAGTCACACAAGTTTCTGTTAACTTGTCTCTATAGACCTGAATCACCAGTCAGCTATTGGAAAAACTTAGACTCAGTAATTGAAAAAGTTGTAAACACCAACTTAGATATGGTAATTACTGGTGATATAAACATGAACATGCTAAATCTCCAACCCAATTTTCATCTTGCTAGACTTATGACAAAATTTAATCTTTCAAGTTTTATCACTGAGCCCATCCGTATCACTCCAACCTCATCCACATCAATTGATATTGTCTTTTCTAATAACATTAATCTAGTTAGATATGCATCGGTTTTTCCTGCTATATGTAGTGACCATTCTCTGATATAGTTCAATATTTTGTACACAGTCTACAAGCAACAAATCTATCAGAAGAAAATATTTATTTATCAAGATGCAGATTATGATAAGATTAATAGAAGTATCTTAGAGGAAAAGATTGGATAAACCTTATCAATATTAATGACTCAAATGACTTCAACAATATTCTATGTGACATTATAAAACAGCTAATTGATGAATGTATACCCTTTAAGAATGTGACTATTAGGCCAAATGATAAGAAATGGATGACAAATGATATTAGACCACTTATAAGACAAAGAAATAGGAATCATAGGTAAACTAAAACTACTAACTCTGCTCTTCATTGACTATAGAAACAAAAGAAATGAAACTATTAGTAAAATACATGATGCAAAGAAATCTTACATGGAACACCTTCAAAAATCATTAGCCGACGGATCTATTCCACCTAATAAATGGTGGAAAATTGCAAGAAATGTTCTTAATATAACCAATAAGACTTCTTCTATCCCCCACTTAATCACAATAACTCATTTATTCAACATCCATTTGACAAAGCTGAATGCTTAAATAAATACTTTCTATCAATTTCGACCACTTCTGAAAATACTGAACCTTTACCTGAAACTGTCAATGATTATCCTCACTCTATAAATAATATTGTTATTACTCAACAAGATGTTAAGGATCAATTATTTTTTTTGAATGGCAATAAACCTGCTGGACCAGACGGCATGATTCCTAAAATAATCAAACGACTACATCCATCTATTCTCCTCCCTCTCACTCTCCTATTTAATAAATCTATAGAAACAGGTATTATTCCCATCAGTTGGAAGTTGGCTAATATTAATGCTATTTATAAAGGGAAAGGATTAGCTAATGAGGCATCTAATTACAGACCTATATCAATTACTTCATGTTTTAGCAAAATGCTTGAAAAAATTATTTTCAAATGTCTCTATAATTATCTTACTACATATAAAATTATTACAAAGCGCCAGTCCGGCTTTACACCCAAAGACTCTACTGTAAATCAGTTATTCTCTATTTACCATACCATTGTTAATTGCCTAGATCAAAATAAAGAAATCAGATTTATATTCTGTGACATAAGTAAAGCTTTCAATAGGGTTTGGCATAATGGACTGCTTTCTTTCCAAATTAAAATATTATGGTGTTACAGGTAATCTATTAAATTGGCTTGAAAATTTTCTATCTTATAGGAAACAGAGAGTATTGACAGAAGGTTATGCATCAACCTTTGACCCTGTCCAAGCTGGAGTACCACAAGGCTCGGTTTACGGACCATTACTATTTTATTATATATTGATGATATTGTTGAATGCGTCTCCAGTAAAATAAAATTATTTGCAGATAATACATCTCTCTTTGGTACGTGTGATAATTATCCCATTGAATTGGCACAGAATCTTTCAGATGACTTGACAAACATAATGCTGTGGGCCAATAAATGGGATATCAAATTAAATCCTTCCAAAACTGAATCTGTAGTATTTTCAAGAAAAACTGACAAAAACCACTCAATTATTACATTTTATGTTCAACCAATTACTGATAACAAACTTCATACACATCTAGGTCTTACTCTTAGTGGTAATGCCAAGTAGAATCAACACATATCTAATATCTATGAAAAAGCATTTAAAAGGGTAAATATCTTAAGGTTAATTAAAAAAACAAAATTGATAGAAAATCTCTTACTACCTTGTGTACTTCTTACATTAGGCCAATTATTGAATACGCAGATGTTGTTTGGGATAGCTGCACACTGGCTCAAACAAATTTATTGGAATCCATACAACTTGAGACTGCTAGATTAATTACAGGTTAACGTAGAGGGACAACACATGATAAATTATATAGGGAACTAGGAAACTTTGAGTACCAGAGGATATGAACATAAATTTATCTTAATGTATAAAATAATAAATAATGAAACTCCAGATTGCTTAAGTGAAATAATTCAACCATATGTACATGATGAAACTCAAGACAGATATACCTTGCGTGCAAATAGAATTTTTGATCCCCCATTGTGTCGCACAGTAAATATTACGAAAGTTTCTTTCCATGCATGTTTAATGAGATTAACAGACTTGCCCCAGATATTAGTAATATCCATTCCACATCTCAGTTGAAAAGGTTATTTAACAAGAATCAATATATAGACTCTGGAACAAATTATGCTTTTGAATTTCTAGGTAATCGTGATACAAACATTATATTGTGCCAGTTAAGAAATAACGCTAGTAATCTTAACTATGATCGTTTCAAAGATCATCTAATAGAATCTCCAATGTGTGAGTGCACTCAATCTCCTGAAACTACCCTACACTTCTTCTTTGAGTGCAATAGATATAGCGATATTCGACAGTCCCTACGAAAGAACTTGCACCATGATACTCATAATCATTTATGTGTAAAGGTTTTATTACATGGTTGTGTTCTTTGTAATGATATACAAAATAAAGTCATCCTATCTCATGTTTCAGATTTTATTTCACGTTCTAAGAGATTCCCATTTTTCAATGCCTAATGTACAATCATTCTAATGATACATGACTTTATTTCCAATACGAAGAATTATCTAATTGAATGCGGTATTGTAAACATCCTATATGTACTTTCAGAAATTCCTATTTATCAATTAAACCCCCAAGTTGACTACTACTATAGCAGTACTACACATATCTGATGTATTATTATGAATCATCATCTCTCACATTTTCCCTCCTATACTGCAATTAAATACAATGTAAGTCTGGTCTGGGCAGCTAAGATGGCTACTTTCGCTTATGTAACTATATGCAGTAACTCCTTCTTATTTAAATAAGCAATCTTCATATTATAAATAGCACTTGTTGTAACCTTACTTACAAACTATGTATATCCATTTGTTGAAATTGGGTTTTAAACCCAAGCAGTGTAGGCCAGTGTGTTGTGCATATGGACTTTGTGTGGCCTTATCTGCTGGGAGAAAAATCTAATTTCAACAAATATTTGAACTCATCAAGCCAAAATTAAGTACATGAAACTATCTCAGACGAGATCATCTTGATTAATGCTCAAACTCTATAGACATAACATTGGGTTACTTCCTAATATAATCCTGAACTAGTTTGTTTACAATAAGGAGTTACTCCCCCTTATGTCTTTCTTCAATAAAATTGTATATATATATATATGTCTGTTTGTTTGTTTACCTCAGGTTGTCACCTGAAGGAAAGGACTTAAATAGGCAATGCCTGATGTCCAATTCCTTTTGACATTTGTCAATAAAATGTGTTGATATTGAAATTGAAGATATTATTGTAAAAGTCCCAAACAATATTGGTGAACAGGCCAAAGACTATGTAAGTCATCTTTATATGATAGACAAATAAAAACATAAATACAAAGTACATATCGGTCACACATTCACTTCAACACGAACCGGCATTTCGTGTTTTATAAATAAAAGACGAGTTACCTCCCCTCTGTCGTACGTGCGAAAATCAATTCAAACATTTTTGCTCTAGATACGATATATAAATATATACTAAACAAAAAAAGAAAGGTAACACTACTTTATTCTGTGATTAATTAATTAACCCCCTCATAAATCCTTACCAATCATGTACGAATAAAGTAATTGATCAATTCTGATAAAACTGCAGTCATGGTTCATTATAACACTTTGCGTTCAGTTGATTTTATTCGACTGTAAAGGACGTTGGGGTCAATTTCAAGGGTAACACCATTAGTAACGGGTATGGCCACCGATTGGGAAGTAAACAGCATTGCAGCGTCGTCGCATGGAACTCGTAAACCGGCGGATAATTCGAGGAGAGATGTTGTTCCATTCAGCGATCAAGGCTTGGGCCAGCTCCTGCAAGTTTGACGGATGATTTTGACGTTCTCTCACGCGTCGCCCAAGAACGTCCCAGACATGCTCAATCGGTGACAAATCAGGTGATTTAGATGGCCAATCTAACACCTGTACGTTATTCTGCTGCAAGAAAGTTCTGAATGGTGTGCGCTGGTGCGTTATCCTGTTGAAAAATGGCGCCAACGCCATGACGTCTTAAGAATGGCAGAACCACTGGTCTTAAAATTTCGTCCCGATATCGAATGCCGGTTAAATTGCCATTTAACACAACAAGCCTGGTACGAGTCCCCCCACAAATACCACCCCAAACCATTACACTTCCGCCGCCAAAGCGGTCCCGCTCTGCGATGCAGCAGTTCGCAAAACGCTTCCCTCGTCGCCTCCACACTCTGCGCCTTCCGTCACCGTGTTGCAGACAAAACCTGGACTCATCTGAAAACAGAACATTGTTCCATTGTCGTAAGGCCCAACGACGGTGAACACGGGTCCAGTTACGCCGATTATTACGGTGACGTCGCAACAAATTGGGTCCAGTGTAGCGACGCCGCGCTTTCAATTGGTAGGCCCTCAACCTGTTGCGGACTGTTTGGGGAGACACACGACGCCCAAACAATGTCCTTGTAGTCTCTACTGCGGTTACAAATCGATTGCGCAAGTGTATCGATCGTATACGACGGTCATCCCTGGCGGTCGTTTTACGGGCTCGGCCGCTTCGGGGACTATCGGATGTTGACCCAGTTTGGTTTAAACGACTTACCAACTGGCAAATTGTCTTAACACTGCAACCAAAATGCCGTGCAACTCGACGGCGAGACTCCCCAGCCTGGATCATGCCTAAAGCCCTTTCTCTCTGTACTTGTGACAGCCGGGGCATAATCATAAAGTTGATAGATAGCAAGATTCGGTGATTTCTAAATCGTAAGGATCTAAAGAACAGTTGTCAGTTTGAATGTTTATGAAATTCAAGCGAAGATACAAGTTAGTCGCAGAAAACCTCGTGCAGCTCTTTCGCTAATACAGTCTTTCATGCTTGAATGATTTTGGTAACCCCCTTGGATTTTGTAATGTAAAACATTACCATTTTCTAATATTGGACAAACGTCATTTTGTTTTCACTCATTTACAGGTATTCGCCAAGGAAACATGTTAACCTTTCTTTTTTTGCTGATTATATATGTCATATATAATGTGACCTTTTTAGGTGAGAAGGGGATGGACACTAGCATTTAAGAAGTGAATAAACAGATATTGAACTGAAACGTAGAACGAGAGGCACAGATTCATTTTGCTAGAGAAAAGTACTAGAGGTAGAGCGAAGCCCGTGATTAAACTTAGATATCAGGCCCTTCAGGTGTGTTGGTGTTAACTATCTTCAGCTGATCGAGGACATCTTGTTCAGAAATGGTAACAGTAGTAAGAGAGAAATGAATGAAGCTTTCATGCAGGTTATCATCATTCTTGTCTGAAGTAAACAATAATTTATCTATTGAATGAATGTTAATTGAGTCATTATATATTAATGGAGAATTCTCAGTTGGTTTGTTCCCGCCATTTCTTTGTTGTTTTGTTAATTTCCGTCGCTTCTCAGGAGATAGTGTTTAATCATTTACGGATTTCGGTCAATTTTTCACATATTTTTCTTTGGCATTCATGTTTATGGTAATAACATAGTTACATAGTTCTCTAGTTTGCCCATGCCTTATCAGTATGTGTTTACCTTAAGGTATGGTCTTATTAGATTGCCTCGTTTTAGTCAAATTTCATTGTTCATCCAAAATTCATCATCGGGTCTAATGAATATTTTAAGACGGAACAAATCTATCAACAGATTGCAAAATTCGCTGGTTAATGATTTGACTAGTAACACTAAGATTAAGGTGTTCTTTAAGATCAATTAGTGATATGATGGGTTAGCACTAGAAAGCAGTGTCTTTAGTTTTGTAGTATGCTCATTTCCAAGAGTCTTCTGCAGTACAAGGACAATGGTCACTACAGAAAGATACTAATACATTAACATTTATGATAGGGTCAGGACTATTGGTTAGTAGGACACCCAGGCTAGCTACAGACAATTCGGTTATTATAGTAGGTTAAGGTACAGAATTTGTAGAAACCTAGAGTTGGCATTGATATGTAATATGTTCTGGTTAATACTACCCACAAGTATAGTCTTTATTGAGGTCCGGGATCTTACGAAGAGTTCCATCTGTCCGAAAATGGTGATCTGGTTATCAACATCCTATCGATATTATTCTTCAATTTGATTTAAGCCGCAATAACCCACGATCATCATTCTCTTAATTATAGTGTGAAAAACATTACAGAAATAGACCTGCAAACTACATAGATGTGGAGATAGCATTGTTTCCATTACGTCATTGAATCTGTGCTAGTAAATGTTAGAAATTGATTTAATATCGGCGACATCTCTGGTTACGTGTTCAAGTTTTGTCATAAACTTGTAGACCCAATCATGAATTTAGAGCATATCATGAAGAGCATGTTTCATCGCGTGGACAACTGATAGGTCATTGCGATTTTTTTCTTATATTATGATTTATCAGTCTTGTAAATCTAGTATACTCTATACATTCTTGTGATATATATACATTCTGTCTGTCTGTTTGTCTGTCTGTCTGTCTAGTATCCGTACGATCGCTGGCAAGGATTTATCAACTTTTTCCGATAAAATGAACATATGTGCATATGCTGTTTATTGTATCTAGAAATTGAAAGCGTAATTTATTTTTAACACAATACTTTCACCTTTAAAATGAAAATATTTAAGTCTTCTTGGATTTTGATGCATTTAACTAAAATATACAGATAAAAAAATTGGAAGGAGTATCGAAAAACACAGCTTCGAGCTGGTAGGGATTGAATTGGATCTATAGCCTGAATGCATCTTCTTCGCGGTTTTAACCTCCACCAAATTACTAGTGAAGTCACTAACCAGACACTTTACCACTAGACTAAAGAGAAATCCCCGCTAGACAAGACTAAAAAGGCCACCGTTAGTGCCTCAACTTCTACAACTTCTGATATCAGCTTAAAACATACACTTTGTATTTGAGACCTGATAATATGCAGTGTTGAAACAAGCTATGAACTAGTTTGCCGGTAGCCAATAATTCATCATCGATAGTGTAATCTCAACATATCCCCACCAACACGAGAAGATATTCAGGGATCTATAACCGTGCACTACACTGCAGAAGGTGCAGCTTTCAGGGTCACACTTGACTGGACACGATCAGTTATTACCTCTCCAATCACACTCATCCACCATAACGATCATATGAAGATCTTATCATGACTTCACGTTTTGAATCTTCCTGTATATATCTATATCTGTCTGGCCAACACTAAAGATCTTATGATATTCTATACTGAGATATTCCTATATTTCAATATACACCAGACTCGGCGTCTATAGTTCCCCGATACTTTGATTTGTTGGGGTGGTGGTGGTGATGGCGGGGTTAAGGGAAGGGAGGGGGTTGGGGTGGGGGTTGAGGGGTAGGGAGCAATTCATTTTGACGTTGGAGGAGGCAATGCATCTTCATCGCAATCGGTTGACTGTGGTTTTCTGTATTTGCGATATGTTGATGTGTATCGCCTGTGTATCGCTTTAATCCACAAGCATATCAAAGGAGGGTTGTATTCATATACATTAGTACTCATGTTTTGCAGATGTGCAGTTATAATGTATATGTAAGTACGTAGATTTTTTTAGTTGTAATCTTGGGAGTTTAGAGACGCTTACATGTAGCGGTAATCATTCTCAGTAAAGTTTGTTATTTCAGCATGAAATTTGTGTGATTGAAGATAAAAATCTACAAAATATTAACTTCAAAACATGTTTCATCGCAGCTGAACATGCATGAAATCTGGTGTGTTTCGAAAACCTATAGGACTTATCTTCTCAAAATATATCTCTAGTAAGCGTGGGTGGGGATGGATGCAGACGTGCTGATAGGAATTCCAGATTTTTAAGTGATATTAACAGAGTATGAATTAATATGAAAGCAAAACAAAATGAAAAATCAATTTTAACGTATTTATTTTTATAAAATACAATATTTCATAGCGTTAAACCATACATAATTCATATCATACATTTATATATAACTATTAAATTATCTTAAATTAAAAAAAGCATAGATATTTAAATAACATATAATATACCAAGCTAAATGACGTCACAACGACCGGAATCTGAAGTTGTGGGTAAAAAGGGAGCCAGATACGTATTATCATTAAATTATAATACGTCGGCAGGGGTGATAATTAAAAGGGAGGGAACTCACCTCAAACTACAGTATTGATCAGTGTCAGTTACACAGAAGGAACTCGGGCTAGCTACTCGATATGTGTTTGTAAGGCAGCAGTAATTAATCACTAAAGTGAAACGTAGAGGTAGGGATGTTCGTAGGATGCAGATCTTTTGTATACTGTTGCTTTAACAAATATGTGTTTTGTGATGTTCACACAAAGTTAATTGATGTTGATTGATAAATTAACTGAGAGGAGATTGTGTATGCAGTCTAGCAGAAATATACAAGAAAAAAGACCGATACCGTTAAAATGACGAAGAAAAGACTGCCTGTTACAATCGTTACCTCTTATAATTTGTTTGAATAGATTGACTTACGACACGGAGTTCTCACAGTACACAAAACACACATGTATAAAACACACCCGGGTCAGTCACGTATATATCCTAGTTAGTATTACAGGGATAAATCTTCATTACTTATGTACAAAATGTACATATATTAAGGACTTAGCACCGCTTCCTTTTATCAAGTGGCATAAGCAAACTGAGCCTGAAAGAATGTCATTATATAAGAGCAGTCCAAAGATGTTGATCACACGAGTCATGATTCATGCTCCTGGTGGCTACAAAGTGTATGTAGGTCCAGCAAAATCAAAGCCGTCGGGCGAAAGGCTGTTCACATATCCGCCACTTACACAGAGCACGTGATGTACCTGATGTTCCTATATATTAACGTGTATATACCATTTTAATGACTGAAATATAGATATTCATTCATCTAATTTATCTAATGAATACATATTATCATAAATACTCATTTTAGACGTAGAAGTTTGCTCAAATGTCATTGGTCGTCTTTCTGATGGGTAGACCAATGGCTGAGGCTCCGGCACATCGTCGTCACGTGACGGACCTGACGGACGCCACGATTGGTTACTCTGAATATGTGATTGTCCTATCATCGGTGCTGTTTCTGCCGTGTTGTCATAATCTTCGTCGTATCCGCCACCCTGTTTGATCACTTGGCCATGCTGTACATGCGAAACACTAACGGGAATTACCGATTTTTGCGTCAGTGTGCTATATGGAGTTGGCTGATGTGGCTGAAGAGGATACCCGTATCCAGGACTGTGTCCACGTGAGCTAACAGACGACATGGTTCCACTTCTGCTACCTTGATATCCTCCAGGTGATAACTGCCCACTCCCGCCATATTGAGAGTAGCCTATGTTAACATGGGGACCTGTGCTGTGATAGTTTCCTGTCACATGTCCACCACTTCCGCTGTAACTCCCGGACATATTACTGATTCCACTTTGTGTTTGATCCGTTCCAGCTGACATCTGTTTAGTCCCAATCTGAGATCCAGTCACGTGTCCTCCGGTTTGAGTTGAACCGTAACCCCCTGAACTCTGCTCGTGAGGTCCTGACACCTGACCCTGTTGCCCTGACGGCTGAATAGATTGACTGCCTGATGGTGTATAAGTCCCTGACTGGGGGAATCCCCGGTTGGCCTGGACATATGACACTTGCGCCTGTTGTGGTCCGTGGTGCTGTATAGGGATAGTCACCCCTTGAGATATGGACACTTGTTTCTTTGCCAGTGATCCTCCACCGCCTCCGTAACGCCCATTCCTCACCCCACTGTCCGGACCAAGCGGAGGTTTCTTATCCAGTACAGAGGTAAAGGTGGGCGAAATGTTCGAATCCTTCGTGGAAATTATAGGAATGTCATCCTGAAATGCATTGAAAGAGACACAGATTCAATAACAAGAAACTGAGATGGGGCTTATTGTCTGAATGGCATTAATTCACGATAAGGGTTCAAGTTGTAACAAGAATACCGTTAATTGGTACTATAACTTAGAGTCTCACTTATCGAGTTGTCCTCGTGCTTTGTACTCCACTTAAGTGACAGCGCTCAAATGATTAGTTTTAGATCCCCTATTTGATTTGCTAATATCACCTAATCATTATAAAAATATGAAATCTCCACCTATCACCTTAGGTAAACGTCTTGTGAATATGTCGCCTTACTTAAGTTTACAGGATATCCAAATGATGATAAAAAAACAATCAATATAATAGCTCAAGCTTATATAATAAATTATAAATTATATAGAATAGTTTACCGTGGTCTGTGTCTCCTGGTCCGAGAGTTGGAATATACAGTAGGCATGAAGGCACAGGCAAATGCATACACAGAGACATAAAACTCCAACCACGAACACCACGGCACCCCAGGGAATCAGGATCCTAGAACGAAAACAAGGAACTTTAACGTTTACAGTAGAAATAAACAAGATAAAGACAAAAAAACGAACTAAGGCTAAAGATTAATAGAATGAGAACAAAATGTGAATAACAGAAAGATTTATAAGGAAAATTTAAACAAACGCCAGTATTATTGTTCCAGAAGGTAAAGCGTCTCCTGCTTCATGGACGATCCATGTATGTAAACTTTAGTCAATGTCACGTGGTAAAGTAAATAATCAGTTTTATAACAACGAAAATAGTCTGTAAACTTCAGAGCATCGAACACTTGCACTTTGATATCACACGTGGAAACATTCTGCAGTGGTTTGAAAGTGTATCGTAAATACAACAGCTTTCTATGAAAATTCAAAATTAGATACAAACGTAAAATAAAATCTCACATCCGTAACCGGTCATTTGATAGTTTGTATGGCCTTCTTTGTTGCCAAGTAACCAAACCTCAATCAATTAACGTAGCTTATTAAGATATTTAGCATTGTTGGGTTTCTCCTTTTTAAAACAAAACAGTAAACTAGGACTTCCAGACATTAATGACTGAGAGATAGATACGTTATAATTTGCTCTGCCAACTAGTAATAACCTGTTTTCAGACAAGGAATAACCAGATAATTTACAGTAATATATTGGCGAGAGTTTTACATTCCAGATCGGCACGCCTCAGATCGTGTCCAACTGGTAAATGTAGTCGACATTAAAATAGCTCACTCAACTGGACACCCCTCCAACAGACAATCTGACGATAGAATGGAGAGTAGACAGCTAGTTTTGTCATATCAAGGAAGGTAAAGCGTTTGTTCCATGGTGACAACTTTTTCTCTTCAGCAAAACATGAACCAAGTTACGTTAAACCAAGACCTTAAACCAAGACCTTAAATCAAGACCTTAAACCAAGACCTTAAATCATGACCTTAAATCAAAACCTTCAATCAAGACACTAATTCATGATCAATCGCAACGATCTTTCATAACATTCTGCACAGAAAACTGAAGCCATCACGAGGACGACAGCTAAATGATATCTACGCTGTTAGAAGTCGTGATGGACAATATACCGCTCTCCACTGCTTATCTGATAAACTACATACATTGTAAATATGTAGTATTACTCTTTCCTATGTACTGAACGTTAACACACATTACAGGACATCACCCAAGTAAAAAAGCTACAAAAGCAAACTTTGATACATAAAGAGAAGCTTGGTGTAAGTACATCTCCCAGTCTATATCATAACAATTGATTCGATATATTCCGATGTTCTTGAGTCGCCTCCGAGACTTCAGGCCCCTAATTGCCGAGACCTAAGACGACACGCCTATATGATAAAGTTTCATTGTTTTGTTATAAACTGTATCTATACATATATTGTATCTATATATAAACTGTATCTATACATAGATTGTATCTACATATAAACTGTATCTATATATAGATTGTATCTACATATAAACTGTATATATAAAATATATAAAATGCGGATTCTGATGTAGATGTCGATGGTTTCAGATATTTCCTCAAAATAAAATTGGACAACTGTAATTAAGCAGACTTTTAATATCAGGACAAATTATCTATCACGGCTGCTCTTGTCACATAATCATGTTCCAGTTGTACATCATCTCTTGTCCTGATTCCGTGAATTTCTGTAAGATTAACGAACTGGCTTAGACTTTCTGTAGACTTAATTGCTTTATATGCCTTGTTATCGTAAAGAAAGGACAAGATTCATTGCAGAACTTGGAACCATTACAATTAGTAATTCTTCGTTTACCTCCTACAGCTGTGTGTACTATATATATATATATATATATATATATATATATATATATATACTACACCACATAACAATGAAAGCGTTGCAAGAATAGCTGGCACAATCAAGACAATTGGTGAGAGGAATCCGACTCTCTCTACAATCAACGAGATAGAACCTTGGCGATAGCAAGTAAAACAGACAGCTGTCTGGATTCTGTCACATCTCCGCGGAAAGTCTGCATCCAAAGTTGACAACTTTATCTCGCCCCCACAATCGTGACCCAAAACATTTTGATGACCCAGCGTAAATCATGGACAATTTCAACAATCATTTCCTCTTGGGGATACCAAGCGTGCTCTCATTATGATATGATAGATCATTGTATTAATGCTTGTCACAGAAACTATTATCAACATCATTATAAACTCAAAACTCAAATTCAATCAAAGTGTGGCAAATAGGAACAAGATTTACATGGAGAATCCTGAAAGAGTACAAAGAGAAGAAGATCACGTGTGTTCCGGAAGAGTAAGCGTTTTCTGCTTCATCGACGACACCCGTCATGTAATTCGTGGTCAATCCAAGTACTGTCGACCCTTTTTAAATGAGAACAACGTATACAGCGGAAACAACAGGAAATCTAACGAGCATCAAACTCATCCACATCACAATATTTGAGGCTGGTTTTATTGTCGATACTTTCTTTTCCATGATATTTCTCAAGGTAACCATGATATGGCATTGGTCAGGTTAGTATTTGGGATAAATTATGTTGCGAAATCATCTCAAACGGTAAAAATCTTAGGACAAAAAGTTATTGCATGTCAATAATTTGAGTATCAAAAGAAATATCTTTCAATTTACATATAAATAAACAAAAAGATACTGTCATAACACCAACTCAGTGTACCGATTGTATTTTACATATTGCCAGTGGCTTAGAAAAAAAGACTACCTGCCATTTTGTCGGTGAAGTGTCGAGTGGAGTCGTATTCAAGGCCATCAGAGTGGTCACACCAATTATATTTGGTGTTTATTTGAGCGGGGGTCGGGTTATCAACAGAAGAAGGAACAAAATCTCAGTTTATCTCGCTCCTCGTGACTTTTGAAAAGGACCTGGCTTAAAATACCGTATGGAATTACTGGACAATAAAACATGTCTAGAATATGATACAACAATCACGATAAAGAAATGGCGTTTTAACGCTACGCCTTGAAATAGAGACAAATGCTTACCAAACCCTATGTTCGTGGACTGTGTCTGTTTGAGTTGTATGCAAAATTCTTCATCACATAACTTATTGAAATACAGACTCCAGTTTGTACGTCAAAATAAAACATGGTTCACTATTTTCCCACATTATAATGACACAAAGCAAATACTTAACACTAACAAGTCACGCTTTCCTGTAATTGGTACAAACCCACTTTTCAATTACTTCTTATTAATCATCAATGTTTATAGTTTAAATCATCACAGTCGGCCGTATCAATGTCTCCTCTTCAAATACAATAAGAAAAGTGTAGATGTGTCAAGAAGTACACAAAGTATGATAATTACATAGATAAGTGACGAATATTTTATCGTATCTTCATCATATAGACTGACATAGCTTTACGGATATAAACGGAAGTAGACGTAGTTAGCTGTTATGGCAATGATTATTGATGTAGAGAGAAATGTGTGTATCACCTATAGGAGCGAGTATAAACGTTAGCCTGGAGTGATGTGGGCGGGGCTCTATAGTACCCTTAGCTACATCAGGTAGTCCATAATTGTACGAGTTTTTATCCTTGCAAGCTATCAGGTTTTCTTAGTGAAGTAACTTCAACTACCGCACGTGCTTAAGATGTCGAGCAAATCACTTCAATGTGCAAGTTTAAATTAGTATTTGTACAAACGGAAATGATTAATAAGATTTTCTCTTTTCACTACCTCGTCCCTTAGTTCACAAGGAAGTTACATAATTAGAATGAAAATGATACACACTCACTTGTAAAAGTAGAACTGCAATGCGTTAATCACAACGATCTGAGTCACTATGTCATTGGAAATTGTGAAATTATATAGACCTAGTGGCTTGACGGAGGAAACTTAGCGAAAATGAACAAGTAATATTACTTGAAAGATATTACAGGAAAAAACACATCCTTTTTGACAGCGTTAATGTCATCAAATTTTTTTCTCGAATTAATTTCAACGATGATTAGGTCAAGACTTTGACCGTTTTAAATAACATTTTCTGACAATACAGTGATTATACGAAAGAAAATACATACTTTGCTCAATTTCAAATTATGCTGTCAATCATGATGTTTGACATTATGGAATATGTGGATGAACAAATGGCGGTATTTCATAATCTTAATGAAATATGACAAAACGTTTTGATGTTATGTTGTACGTCGAGGAAAATGCTTAATTAGAGTATTTTTATTTATCTATCTATTTATTTATTAAATACATTTTCCATCGGAAAGAAACACGTAATGTCAATATTTTGTGTAATTCCTGTAGAAGATAAAGTTTTTTATACATTTGCCGAGTCCAATACCGGCATTCATCGGTATGCTCACTAGCTGTACACATCAAACCTACGATCAATCCATAAATAAGACTTGGTTGTGTACTAATTTACTAACATGTATTTGTAACATTAACACGGAATGCTTCTGTTTGGTAGTAGATATTACGTAACAACTGTTCTGTGTTCCGGATAAATGTTACATTTATACACAGGGTATTTACATGCTACATCTGCACGTTCAACTTATTCGTGATGTCACGTGATTCTTTCTTCCGCTGCTGTATTTTAGTATGTAATTGTTCAATAAAATGTGCGGTACGGTATATCATACATCGACTTTAGATTATCTCTGTAGTATGTAGTGCTACAAATGACCGAATTTATCTCAGAATCGAAGGATAATTGACATCATGCAAGAGATAAATTTGTTTATCACCAAAATAAACCCTGTTAGAGTTACCTAGTGAAAACATCATCAGTGTGATTGCATAGAGGAAAATGGATTGTCAAAACTCACTGTTGCCATGGCTACACTCTGGGTTATTTCCTTGTTTTTGTCTTTTACACTAGAGTCACATAAGACATCGATCCAATCACGAGATTGGTTAACCCCGAAAAAAAGAATGCATATGAGCGATTTGGTTCAGAGCAGTCTCCAAAATATACCTAAACCACCAAGGGTTACTTGCACATTGAA